GAGAGAATTCACCAGAGTCAGAGCAGAGAGCAGAGCAGGCAGACTGACGAAGTACACTGCTGAGGGGAGCAGTGGGCACAGGAGAGGTCTGTGTGCCATGTGGGACCCTCACCCGGGTTGAACCCGCACTGCAGAGGCTGCGGGCAGCTTCGCAACCCAGCGCTCAACCGCTACGCCACTGGGGAGGCCCAGGTAGATAGGGTATTAAATCGAAGAGAGGTGTTAAATAAACACAACATAAAATTTTAAATTGCTATAAACACTATGAATAAAATGTGCAGGTTTTAAGAGAGTAGAACTTAAATACAATTAAGAAGTAAGGGGAAACATTTTTTCAAGGTGACATTATAGACTTAAAAGATGAATAGGTATAGCTAGATTAGAGGGGATCAGGACATTTACTTGGTTATAAAGGGTAAAATGTGGGAGAATTTAACTATTTCCTTTGTATGCATGCACCCCAGGATTGTTGTTTACATAGTTTATTATTTTAATATGGGCAACCATATTTGTGGTGAATGTGGGAAACCCAACCAGAATTAGTAAAACTCTTAGTTGTAGAAAATGGTGAAATATATGTAGTGCTATTCCTCTCAGGCTGATTCCTTTTTTTATGTTTTCTCTATGTGGTAACTGAAGGTAGAAATCAGAAATACTTATCAAGAATTGTTTCCAAACACTTATTCCTAATATCATAAAAGTCCCTTGCATTTTAAGTTGACCAATCTCCCTTTTTGGGAGAGGTTTATTACATTAACAAGCAGATCTGGTTCTCTATTTTCCCCCACTCAGGTGGGGAAACATTTGAGCCAGGCATATGAAAATGTCCTACCTACAAAAGATTTTTTTTTTAAGATTTATTTATTTATGGATATAAGATCTGAGGTACCAGCCAGAGGTGTGGGGAGGGTGAGAGGATTCACCAGAGGCAGAGTGGGGAACAGAACAGGCAGAATGACTGAAATACACTGCTGAAATACACAGGGATCAAACTCGTGCTGCGGTGGCTGCGGAAATCTTCATAGGTTGCATCTTTTTTTTTTTTTTTTTTTTTTTTTTGAAGTGCTGTTTCCCATGCAGGACTGTGATGCTTTTATTTTTATTTTTTTTTAAATAATAAATTTTATTTTTATATTCCCCCATACAATTGCAAAAGCCCCATTCTGACCCCAATCCTTCCCTTCCCGCCCCCCACCCCCCATTCATAGGTTGCATCTTAACCCCTTGCACCACCAGGGAGACCCCAAAAGGTTTTTCTTTAATCAAGTCATTGGCATCTCAAGAAACCAGCTGATATGCATCTGATATCACTGTGTTCACTGGAATAGACTTGACCATCACAAGTCTGGTGTATAGTTCTCATTCTCTCTGACTCCTCCTAGGTAGCAGGCTAATTGTATGTTAGTGTTTTGGCCATCCTGAATCAGAATGTGTGTGTGTGTGTGTGTGTGTGTTATTTTTATTGAGGTTACATTGGTTTACACTATATGATTTAGAGGTATATATCACACCCATCACCAAGGGACCATAGCTCTTCACCATAGTGCATTGGCCCCTCTCTGTCCTTTACTCCTTACTCCCCCTACCCCCTCAATTCTCTAGTCAGATTTCTAGGGTTTGTTCTTGTTGTTTTATTTTTTTGTCTGTTCCTTTGTTTTGTTTCTCTAATCTACATGTGCGTGAAAACATCTAATATTTATTTTTCTCCTTCTGACTTATTTCACCTAGCATAACCCCTTTAGTTCCATCCATGCTGTGACAAATGGCAAGATGTCATCTTTCTTTATAGCTGAGTGGTGTTTTATTGGATATATACACCTCATCTTCTTAATCTACTGAATCAGAATGTTACTGTGGCTTTTCAGGCACCGTGCCTGAGTTCACAGACAATAGCACCCCATACTTCAACCCATTAATTTAATAACTTCAGTGGTAATTCTGACCCTTATGTTGATGTTTCTATATTTATTGCAATTGGAGTAATGTACTAACAATCACAGACCAAAAAAAAAAAAAAAAACGATTCTAAGATTCTAATAGTCTACTATTTAATAGTAAAAGAATTAACACAAAGTGATCATTAGCCTATCTTTGCTATCTACTCTAGCAAAAGAACTGTTAGTGGTGCAGCAGGTTGAGCACAGTGCTGTGAAGCTGTCCGCAGCCTCTGCAGCACGGGTTCGACCCCCAGCTAACCAGGGAGATACCTAAACGGCACGGCAGACCCCTCCTGCCTCGCCTGCTGCTCCCTCAGTAGTGTCTTTGGTCCGTCTGCCTGTTCTGTTCCCCACTCTGTCTCTGGTGAATTCTCTCACCCTTTCATGCCTCTAACCTGTACTCTAGTTCTTGTATAAACAAATCTAAAAAATAAAATAAAATCTTGTCTATAAAGGAATTACTCCACTTAGAATTTTCTTTGAATTACATAGAAATTGTAACAATGTAAATTAATTTGTATTACTTGAATGATAGAATTGAAAATGTATCTGAAAAGTTTTGTATAACCTGGAGGATGCCTTGCTGGTATTAATTTAAATAGAAAGAGGCTTCCATGTCTGATTTTTTTTAAAAACATATTTTTTAAAGATTTACTTATTTATTTATTTATACAAGTACTGGGTACAGTCAGAAGCACAGGAGGGTGAGAGAATTCACCAGAGCCAGAGCGGGGAACAGAACAGGAAGACTGACGAGGTGCACTGCTGAGCAGAGCAGCGGGCGGCAGGAGAGGTCTGCGCGCCATGTGGGACCCTTGCCGGCAGCCGGGGATTGAACCGGCACTGCAGAGGCTGCGGGCAGCTTTGCAGCCCAGTGTTCAACCGCTGTGCCACCAGGGAGGCCCCCCATGTCTGATTTTTGCCTGTTGTTAAATTACCCCAGTAGAAATAACTGGTAAGTTTTGAATTTATATTGTTCCTTCCCATGTACAAAACCATTTTTTTCCTACAAATAGGTGTTTTTTGTTTTGTGGGTTTTTTTTTTTGCATTGGGGGGTGTAAAGGAAAGCAGAATGTTTTATGATTTTTGCTTCAGCAACTTTGAGACAAATTAAAAGTCCTAAACTCTGAAAAAAAAAAAGAAATAACTGGGATTATTTAATCTTAGCCAATAACTTTTTATCATCTTGGAGATCTTTTGGCCCCCACACAGTTAGATGTTGGACTGCCAAAAGGTAAACCAAGATATAAAACTTGTTCTATTCTTCATAATTAAAAAAAATATTTTCTTCAGACATATGGGCAAGACTCCCAAAACTGAACCATCTAAAACAAACTGAATCATTTAGATCCAGATTAGATATGATAGAATATTCACAAAAGAATTGTACTACATACAAACTTATAAATATTCATTGTTTTAGGTTGATAGTTTCGTATTTAGTTTTTTGATATGTAAAGAAAATGTGTGGGTTTAGAAAGACTCAGTGCATTGATTAAGATGACAGGCCAGGAGTCAGGCCAGCTTTACCAGTCACTATTGTGTAGTTTGGAGTCAATCACTTAAATTCTTTGTATCTCAATCTTAGCCTATAAAATGAGGACCATCACAGTTGGTACATATCAGAAGGTTATTGTGAGAATGGAACAATATTAATAACTTCAGTGGCAATTCCCATACCATGTATCTAAAACACTTGGCAAGTAATAAATGCTAATTTAAAAATCAGAAAGCATTATTAACAACCTGTAATTTTATTTATTTCACTCCTTATCTGTGCCACAGGCAGTAATTTTCAACTTGGAATACCTGCCTCCTTTCCCTATGAGGTATTTGGTGCTGTTTGAACATTTTAAGTTATCACAAATGGGGAAAGAGATTGTTATTGGTGTTTAGCGAATAGAATTTAGAGATGTGCTAAGTATCTCACAATGCACCAGGCAGCCCCTACAACAAAGTCTTATTCAGCCCAAAATGTCGGTAATGTCATGGTTCAGAGACTGTTTGAAGGGTTCGAGGGCTTCTGTTATTACTGAGCGTGTGTGGTAGAAGTGTGTTGTTTACTGTTTTGCCCTCAAATTTACTTTCTGTCCCTTTTTCTTCCCCACCCACCATATTCCACTCTCCCAGGCCATGAGCTCCTTGGGAGCAAGTTCTGAGTCAGCTCTATCACAACTGTTTTTGGACTGTCCAGCTCAATGCCTGGCCCAGAGGAGGCATCCTGTAAATGCCTATTGAAGGCTGTTTTTTTTATTTTTTTTAAAGACGTGTTTATTTATGCATGCAAGAGCTGAGGTACAGGCCAGAGATGTGGGGGGTGAGAGGATTCACCAGAGCCAGAGACAGAGTGGGGGACAGAACAGGCAGATTGACCAAAGTACACTGCTGAGGGGAGCAGCGGGCAAGACAGAAGAGGTCTGCTGCGCCATGTGGGTTGCCCCCTGGCTGGCCAGGGATTGAACTCTTGCTGCAGAGGCTGTGGATTGCTTTATAGTGTGGTGCTTAACCCCTTGCACCACGAGGGAGGCCCTGTGGAAGGCTGTTTTTAAAATGCTTACCCCAAACGAGGAGGTAAATCTCTCATTGTGGACTATGCATGTATTTTCAACTAAAATGCATGACATTTGATCTGATAAGTCTAAGAAAGTTTGGGATGTTGAAGTCAGAGCACATGTTATAGTTTAAAGAAATTCTACCCCAAATTTGTGACTTAGCCCATGACGTGGACAGGTCACAAAGATATCGGTAATAATGCATTTATTCTAGAGATGCTGTGAAGGTTTCACAACATAGTGTGGAGAGTGTAGTCTAGGACTGTGACTCCTAGCAGCTAGGACGTTAGGACATCAATATGATTGGCGCAAATTCCTTTCCCCTGCCTCCCCCCCCAACAGTCATCATCTGTAAAGTGAAGGCAGTCACTTTCCTGCATGATGCTACACAGATTAAGTGCAACCACAGTGATCTTAGCAGAATTTAATAGATAGTAACTATTATTATTATTATATTTGTATTTCAGTGGCAAAAACTTCTGAAAAGAAATACTTCTCTGTTTCATCCTTTTCAGTTATGCCATCTCCCACTGAAAGCAACTGGAAGAAAACAAACAAAACAAGATCAGCAAGAGAGCCATTTAAATATATTTCTCACATATCCCAAAACAGTGAGTTGAATTTAAAGTTTTCTTCAAAAGAAGAGTTGATCACACTTATTCTTGTCGTACATTGGCCTGAAAAGCACAAAGCCTTTTATTTATGTATCTGGGTCATTCTTCAAAGTATTGAATTATTCCAGAATGCTCTGATTTTTTTTCTGGGGCATGTGGGAAGAAAAATAAATAGTGATGATTATTGTCACCTTCTGCCCCTTTGCTGTTTTTATGTATAAATGAAGCTGACCAAACATGGAAAAGTGGTGAACATCGAACATGCAGTGCAAGAGAGAGGGACCTGGGGCCCTTGAGCCTCTATTTCCATATTTATGATATGGGAATATTTCAATATGATGTGTGTGTATATGAGAAACTTAGGGATTTGGCATTGCAAAAGTCAGGGAAAGAACCTGAAAGGAAACCCTGTCGGCTCTCTGAACCATTTCTTAGGATGGATGCTACTGGGGTTGGATTGACTTTTTGTGTCCAAACCTGGGAAGAACAATGGGGTACTGTTTTGTTTTTTTCTTCCCCAGCAAAACACTGGGGTTCACTACCATGCCCATAGCATCAGATACTGTGGTTTTTCATATTTTACTAGAATTTCAGGTTGAAATCATTCCTTCTTCATCTGTATGTATGTATGTGCATCTCCCTCCTTCCTTCATCCTGTCCTTCCTTCCTCCCTTCTACTCTCCCTCCTTCCCTCCTCTCTCCCCTTTCCTCCCCCTCCCTCTTTTAACTTGCTCTTGCTCTTGCTCTTTACTCCTTTCTTCCTTCCCGCCATACATATTTTCTTTAACAAATATTGCTGTGCTTTTACAGGTAATGTTCTAGATGCTGGGAATACAATATTAAGTAAAGCTGTTAATAATCCTTGCCCTTCTGGAACTAGTATAAAATAAACAATAGACATGAAAGAGTGAATAAGTACAAAAAAGTGAATAATTTATAGAGTATGTTACAGGGTTATATAGCCCAAGGTAAAAACAGAGCAGGCTAAGGGATCTCTGGACCTGAGGATGATGTGATAGCTTTTATTTGGGTTGTCAGAATAAATTTTGTTGAAATAGTGACTCCTGAAGGTCACATTGAAGGTCTATGCTGAAGGTTAAGGTTTAAGGTTTAAGAAAGAGTAATACAAAGAGAACAGCTGCTATAGAAACCCTGAGGCAGATATGATTGTCATTTTTGCAGAAGAGTAAGGAAGCCATTATGGCTGGAACAGAGTAACTATGGGAGAATAGCAAGAAAAAGAGTTCTGGCATCTTTGGTTTCTACTGTGAGTGAGATTAGAAACCTTCAGAGTTTTTTGAGGGGAAAAAAGAAATATGGTCAATTTACATTTTATATGGTCAATTTACAGAGTGATGTAGCAACATCACTCTGGTTGTTTGATTGAGAATAGACTCAATCAAGAGTCTATTGATTGGGGTAGAGAGCAAAGACAAGGCAGGAATTCTGGCTAGCAGGCTGTTGTAATGGGTAACTTGGACCAAAAATGATATCAATAACATTGCAAGAAGTGATGGATTCTGATAAATAATTTGGAGATAGGTCAAATCAGACTTTCTGATAGGAATATGGGACATAAGCGAAAGGGAACAGATGGGCAATTTATAGGCAAATCACATTTGGAGATGAGGGTGTGAATCAGGAGTTCAGTTTTGGATATGTTAAGTTTTATTTAAGTTTTTGGTATCTGTTGAAGATGTTATTTAGGCCTGTAGAGAAACTGAGGAAGCAGTCTGACGTTGAGGAATACTGGTGAGCTATCTAATTAAGAAGTTAATTTGGGCCTCCCCTGGTTGAGTGCTGGGCTGTGAAGCTGCCCGCAGCCTCTGCAGCACTGGTTTGATCCCCGGCTGCCAGCGAGGGTCCCACATGGCGCACAGACCTCTCCTGCCGCCCGCTGCTCTCCTCAGCAGTGTACTTCGGTCCTTCTGCCTGTTCTGCTCCCCGCTCTGGCTCTGGTGAATTCTCTCACCCTCCCGCGCATCTGACTGTACCCAGTGCTTGTATAAATAAATAAATAAATAAATCTTTAAAAAAATAATTAAAAAAAAGTTAATTTTCCTGCAGGATAATCTCCTGAGCCTCAGCTCAAGCATCTCTCTGCTGCGATGATTTCCTCCTTGGCCTGTGCTACTCTTTCATTGAACTGGTTGCTCTCCATCATAATTGCAGCATTGGTAAAATCAGTTTATAATCTGTTATGGCTTGAGTTTTGTTCTTCCAAAATTTGTATGTTGAAGTCCTAACTCCCAGTACCTCAGAATGTGATCTATGTGGAAATAGGGTTGTTGTAGATGTAGTTAAGTTGAGGCCCTTGAGTGGGCACTAAACTCAATGTGGTTGATATCCCGAGGGAAAGGGAAAATTTGGACATAGGGAGAAGCGATGTAACAATGGAGGCAAAGATTATGTCCCTACAAATAAAAGAAAACCAAAAAATGCCAGCAAACTGCAAGACATTAGGGGCAAGGTCAAGGTTCATATTCTCCGCAACAGTCCTCAGAAGGAACCAGTCCTTCTGAAACCTTGATCTTGGCCTTCCATGCTCTAGAAGTGTGAGGCAATATATTTGTGTTATTTCAGTCTTACAGTTTGTGCACTTAGTTCCTGCAGCCCTGCAAACTTTTATACCATCTGCATAGCCCCAGGTCTTCAGTTCTTTTAAGAATAAGTAACTTATCTTCCGAATCTTTGAAGTTCTGCTTCTGAATATTTTTCCTTATGTATAGTAGGTGTTCATTAAAATGCTTTAGACTGAATGCATAAAATGTTTGGCATTGACTAGAGATAATGATCATCATGGCAACATGAATACTATTAAAAACCCTATACAGTCTCGTGAAGGCAATAGATTGTTCCAGCTGAGATTCATTAAGAAAGGCTTAATGAGGAAGGTCAAACTCACGTAGAGGGCAGAAAACTTGATAATTAAAAATCTTATGCACTAGAGTATTTTTTGTCTTGATGCAGTGGATGGCAGAAACTGTTTAGAGCAGGAAGGTTTGGGGGCCCTGAGATGCCCCTCCTTCTGCCCTATATCAATTTCAAAGAGAAAAATGGAGGCTTATGACATTATTTTTTTAAATGTCAGAGGAAATAACAATCTCAGCTGACCTCTGGCTTTTCCTTCAACTGGATCCTGAAAGAGAGATAAGATTTAGATTTAAAAAAATCAATTTTTAGACAGAGTGACAGCCTGAAAACATCTTTAGGTAAAGATCTAATAAAACATTTTATGAGGGAATCACAAGACTATCAAGACCATCTTTCCCAACTTCTCCCTTTTAGGTTTCTCAACTTCATCTCTATTGACATTCAACACAGGCAATCTTTTGTTGTTGGGGACAAACTTGTGCAATCAAGGATGTTGTACAACATCCCTGCTCTTGACCCACTGGATACCAGGAGCACTCGCATCCATTTGGTCTCCATTCATTGCCATTTGTCTCCTGGGTGGTGCAAACTGTCCCCAGCAGAGAATCAATATTCAACAATGGTAATATGAGAGTGAAGGAGAGTCAAGCAGGATATCCTTGGAGCAATTTAATATCACAGGTATTTTCTTGTGTTGAGGGAATGGGCAGAAAGCAGGAGGAAGTCATGTGCTTCTTGGTGCATTTTTGTTAAACTGTCTTTTTTTCTTTTTCTTCCTTTCTTCCTCCCTCTCTCCTTCCCTCCATCCCTCCCTCCCTTCCTTCATTCTTTCTTCCTCCCCCTCAATTTTGATATTTTATGAGACCTATCTTCTCATGTCTCCTATGGTACCTATCCTATGCAAGAAATAGGAAATTTATAATCTATTGGTGGATTCAAGAAACAAAATCTCTGCTTAGAAGAGATATTTGTGGCACCCAAATGATGCCACCAAGTGGCCTTTAGTGATGCCAAGGACTGACTTATCAGAGTCGGACTTGTGAAACATACTTCAAGGACCCTAGGATGTTAAGGCAGGCATGACGTCATAAAGTCTCATAACATTTAAAGGGACATTGGAGGTCTAGAATAATCCTGACCCTGGAAACCAGCATTAAGAGAGTTATACAAAAGAGGTAGATGTTTATTACTGTGTCTTGTTAAGAGAAGATGTCCTGTTTTGCTCAGATTCACCTGCCCAGTATATGTTCTTAATAATCACCGCTTGAATGAAGATGGGGTGAGACCAAAGTCAGGCTCCACTCTGAGATACAGGGTTGGAATGATACAAGGGATCCTGCAGAGCACTGAATCATACCAAACTTCCAGGCCTATTTAATGGGGATCGGGGGTGTCAGTCCATGCCAGAAGTAGTCAATCTTCTCTATGGTCCTTTTAATGAAAAACCTATTGTTGAAGCACACTGTGTAAACAAAAAGAGAAGGAAATGTATGGTTGGAGCTAGAGGAGCAAGAGGGGTTCTCCTCAGTTGGCCCAATCCTCCCTTGTCTTGCCTCACAAACATTGCCACCACCCCTCTCACCCCCACTCCCTGCCACATAGAACAATTTGCACAAACCAGAACCAATGCACTATGAAAGGAGCCATTCCTTTAAGTCTCTCTCCCATTGAGTCAAAGAAGGCTAATGACCTTTGAAGCCAGCACAGCTGAAAAAGTGAGACTGATTCCATGTGGGGTGAGCTGTCACCATAATGGGGCCAACATTAAACAGGTTACTGGGATGAACATGCATTGAGCGATTGTATGGGCCTGGTGCTGCCTCCTGGAGGCTGTAGAGAAATAAGAGCCTGGCAGACAGTATGGGGAAGTGTTAGTAACCCCTGGGATTTCAGGACTCACCAAAAGAAACTTACAAGCTAAACACCCTAGACATTGTGCCCCAGTGAGAAGAAGGAAGTGAGGGAGGAGATCAAGAGGCATTTTCTTTTTTTTTTTTGCACTTTTAAAAATTATCTTTATTCAGGATCATAGTTTTTGGGAAAAAAACCTCAGCCTTATGACAATTTTAAAAGATATAGCATTTTTTTTAATAATAAATTTTATTTTTATATTCCCCATACAA